TGTTCATCTGCTGTTCCTATCATCTGCTGTAACCTGATGTTAAAGAATAAACACCTCTTTTGAATGAATCGGTATTGACGAGTTCAGCTATCTGACGAGGATTGTCCGCAGTGAGTATATCTGCTTATACAGGCCAGGCATAGAGGTCTCAGCAAGGGATATATTTCGCTATCACAACGATCGGAGTCAGAATAGATTATGTGGGTTATAAAAAGACATGTCTCCATCAGGTTCAACCTTTTAAAAAAAAAAAAAAGATCTAATACGGCCTAGTTTATTTTAATATGAGTGAAAAACTTTTTCCATTTTCATGGCATGTCTGATAAATACCTGGATCAACATTGTACTTTGTATTTTGATTGTAAGCTGTTTGGTTCCTTTAAGATAGTATCCAACTCTATCTTTTGTACCTGTGGAAAAGTATTTTCGCACTCCTCATAGTAAGGAGCAATGGGTGCTTGCCATTTCCGAGCGAAATTTTATAATACCGTAGGGCTGCAATCCTGTGTATGGAATACTGATATTACACTGGCAACCATGGAGGGGAAGGCGCTATCATTAACATGTAAGGTTTTCAGGAGAAGGGGCAGATTGGTAAGGGTAATTCCATTTTGAAATATGCCTGGGAAAGTGGAATTTACTCTTTAAAACAAGCACACAAACGCTTAAAAGAATGGTTAAATTATTCAGTTCAAAAGCCTTTTATGGCCTTGTACAATGGGCTAATATAGAGCAGTCTGTATAGTAAGCTTTAAAAAAGTATTTGCAAAAATGTGTGCAACCTTCAATCATCTTTGCTGAAGCCTTTAACTGCCTCCGGGCCGGCCGTAGTAGAAAAACGGCCGGCCCGGTGCTCTCTAGATCTGAGCGGGCGTCTTTAGACGTCCGCTCAGACACGCCCCCTGAAAATTGACGTTTTTTAAAAACCGGCAGCGATGCCTGTTACCATACAAGCGATCCGCCGGCTTTAGAGCCGGCGGATTGCGTGTATGGGGTGCCGATCGGTCTCC